CCTGTCCACGCTCTGGCGCTTCGTCCCCGTAGGAAGTCCAGCGCCAGGGCAGTGTGTCTCCTAATTGCCATCCACGCCCAGATGGTTTGCTGCTGATGGCGTTGCTGGAATCTTCGGTGATTCCCTGAGGCCCCAGCCGCTCGCGCACCAGATCTGATTTTTCTCCGCCTCGTCGCTGCGCGCGAAGCCGCGACCGCCCAAGAAAAAAAAAGTTTTTTTTTTTTTTTTTTTTGTGTGTGTGTGTGTGTGTGTGTGTGTGTTTGTTCGCTGGATCTCTCTGGGCTTTCAGGCCTCTGGAGGCTTCTAGCGACCTCTCGGCGCCTTTGGGGGTGGCTTTTGGAGGCCCCCTGGGAGTTCCAGTTGATCCCAGGGGTTGTTTTGCTGGTAGTCTTCGCGCCTTCTGGGCCCTCCTGAGGCGTCCTATCGTCGCTACGCCTCGACATTCTGGCCAGAGCTCGCCACAGGACGGGCCTGGGAGCTGACCCGACCCCTCCCTAAGATCCGACGCCGCAAGAGATCAGAGGAGGAAAAGGTACCGATACCGCTACCCTCGCCTCGTTCTCGCCTTTTTTGGCCACCTGGGAAGCCCTCGAAAAACTCGCCGGATTCGCCTCGAAATTCTGGTCAGAACGCACCGTGGGAGAGGGATCGGCGTTTTGGTAGTGGTTGCTTTCCCCAAGAGATGGTGTCGAGGGCTCCGGCCGTGATTCTTCACTGTACTGCATCTGTTTCGCTACTTCGGCTCTCGGGGGGGTGGGGGCGACATAGCTTCTGCGCTCGTCGGCGCCGGGTGTCCCCCCGGGGGTGGAGCCAGGCTTTCCACCTGCAATCTTCGACATCCGACACCGCGAATCTGTTGCAACGGCCCTCGGTCATCCCCAGGTGCGCGAAGATAGTCGCCCTTGCCGTGTCGCGGTTTCGGTGGTGAGGAGCTGCCCTTCTCCACGGCGGCGCTGCGGAGGCGCGGAGATATATTCCCGCAGGGTTTGCATCGCGCCTCGCGGGGCGCGAGGCGCGACGGTTCGGTGATCTGGACGACAATAATGAGGAGGGACACAATCACACAGACACAATCGATCGTCCATTCCCCAGAAAATATGGGAAGTGGGGGGGAAGACAAAAACCCTGAAAATATGGGAACATATTGGGAATCCTATGATCTGTGTTATTCATTTGTGTGGGTGTCCCAGGGCCCCTTCACAGAGCCCTCGATCTCATCTGAGCGACGCAGAAAAGCGGTGTCGACTGCGCCGACATTGGCGCGCAAGCCGCCCGCGTAGGGGCTCGCGCAGGCGCCCTCGCCTCCAGAGTGGCGTGCCGCGCCAGCGGCCCGCGGAGGCCGCCGCGCCAAGTCGCGGTGTCCTCTCGCGTGAGACCCTGCTCTTTCCGTCGGCCCCCCTCTGTGTGCGGTACCCCTCGAGCCACCACAGACACGGACCGCCGGGGGCCCCGAGGGGCCCGATGGGGCCGCCCCGCCAGAGGGGCCCGCGCGCCTGGGGCGAGAACGCCTGGCTCGAGAGAGCGGCGGCGCCCGGGATCTCAGGGTGCCGCAGCGCCCGGGGAGGCAGCTCCTGGGCCGCGGGGGGCCGTCCACGGACCCCCGACGTCCTCGAGCGGGTGGGAGATCCTCGCGGTGCCTGGGTGGAGTGTCGTCCTTAACCTGAGCAGTCAGGATGACCTCACCGATGGGCTCACCCCCTGCGGTGCTACGATGCAGCTCGCTGCTGGTTTCCGTCATGTTCGGCCCCTGCTTGAGAACATCATGCTTTTAATTGGTTTCGGCCCCTCGGGGGCCCTCGCTGGGCCCCGGGGCCGTGCTTAATCCTGTGCTACTCTGGCCTCGATGCGCCTTACTCTCGCCTAATTGTCCTAGTCGTTGTGGCGGAGACTTCCCAGAAGTTGCCTCCGAAGAGTCCACGCCCCCGTGGCCCTATTTGGAGGTCCGCGTCGGGTCTCCGTGGAAGTCCATGATTGCGGCCCCGAACCTATGTCGGCGCATTCCTCACTTGGATCTCGCAGCGTAGGAAGCTCAGCTCGCGTCCTGCGCGGCTGGTCCTTCGCTTCCTATCCGCGCTGCCCCAAGCTACATCCCTTTCGCGGCGCGCTGCCTGTGAGGATAACGCCACGTCCTGCGCTATTCGTAGCTGCATATGGTTGGGTTCTTCGCCTGGCTAATTATTGTACATACGGTGCCCCTGGAAATCTGGACAGGGCCAGTTTTTCACCCAGAGTCGTTTCTCCACGGCCCCAGGCCGAGCGAGGGTTGCCAGAGGCTTGAATCGATCAAGCAATTTCCATGTGCTCCTTCATATACGTCTGGTGCTCGGGCCATGCCTCGGGCCTTCCGTGAGCCGACTCGGGCACCTCCAGAACGATCCCGACGAGGCGCAGTGTATAGGCGCCGCGGGGCGAGAGGACCTCTGGCGGGCAGTGCAGACCTGTGACAACCGGGCAGCCTCCCCTCGCACCGCACCTCGATCCCCGATCCTCCTTGGGCCACCCTCGGGGGCGCGGAGATAGTCTCGCTTCGCGCGTCGCGATCTGGGCATGCGAACTGCCCTTCTCTCCAGGGCGTCGGCGCGATGGCGCGGAACATGACCGCGCGTCGCGCACCGTGGGGCGCGCTGTGCGGAGTCCGCCGACCGAGGGCCATCGATCAGGGCGGCCCCCCCGAAAGCCCTGCTCAGCGGCCAGCAGCAGCGGCAGCGCCCGCGGACCGCGCGGAGGCGTCGCCGCCGAGGGCCGCCGAGGGCCGCCGAGGGGCGCGCGCGCCGCGCGCCAGGCCCCCCCAAGATGCGGCCGCGGC